AAGTTTCGAAACTATCAGCCTTTATTCGTCTTTACACATCATCCTGGCTCATGGCATATGGCCTTGGATCCGTTCCTCCTTCTGTAAATTTCCTTTTCCGGGGCTTTTTTTTCTCCACTCCTCAAAGTAAGATCTTAGATGAAAGCAACAGTGCTAGAGTGTTGGTTACCAGCTCCCTGGTCGTTCAGAATCACTTTTCATGTGTTCAAAGGAACCTTGCAATTGGATATTTTGATGTGCAGTTTCTATTGATTGGTTTTGATTGGAATTCCTTATTAATATTGTGCACGATCAGGTTCACAAAAATCTAACAATAGCCTAAAAACAATTAACTGATTAAAATATATTGATTAAAAAAAAAAATTTTAAAAAAAAGCGTGATATTGGTGAATTAATGTCAAGTGTACTTATCATGCCATGACTTTACATGTGACATCATCAGCTTATCCACGTCAATCGAAGTGTCCCAACGTTAGAAAAAAACAAAGACAAATTCTAAATTCAGTGCATGAAAGAATATAAATGAAATAATACTCAGCTCATTCGTCTAAAAGCGAAGCAATTAAATACTAAAGTAATTATTTTCAATTTTTGTGCGTCAACCTTGTGTGTAACCTCACAACAAATTACGTACCAATCGCATTCTTCCAACATCAGGAACAACAGCAACAAAAATATGTTTTACAGTTTTGCCAATTTTGGTTTTGTTGCGAATCTCACCCTTCAGTTACGTAATGAAAGGCTCAATTGTTCACGGCATTAGAAATACCAAAGAAAGAGCTCGCATGAAAGGAAAAATAGTAACCAAAAATTGGCAACAAAAATAAAAAGAAAAAGAAAAAAGAAAACAAAGATATGGTGTATCATTGAAACAGTGATGCAAATTTTCATTTTTGTAACTTAAATAAATACATAAATTCTATTAAGAGAATATATTCCCTTGATTTTATAGATTAAAAAAAAAATACAAAAGGCTACGAATGATTCAAAAATAAATCTTAAAATAACGCATTTGCCAAAAATTTTATGTCAATCATTTTACACTTGGCGAGTACGCTGGATATACTTAAAGCCTTTCTGAACAGGAAATAGAGTCCGACATTTATGTCGATCAAGAAGGCCAATAGAATCTCTTGAAGGAACAATATTTTGAAGTTCTACACACGTTTTCCCTGGTTCCCACGTGTATAAATGCTTCTTCTCCGAGGACAAAATCATCAGAGTAGCACTGCTTCTACAAAGGAGCTGCTAAGTTGTTGGAGGCCCAAGCAAGAAAAGGACCAGAATGAATAAATTTGTTCTTTCTGCCCTCGTGGCATTCTGCCTGGCTGTATCTTTGCAGGCTGTTGTATCTTATGAACCCCTAGAAACAGCTGCCTATGAAGCCGATCAATCTGACGATTTGGGCGCTGTGAAGGATGCAGTCGACACCAATGCTGATGAAGGATTTGAAGATGAACTGAGCGATTACGAAGATGAAGATGACAATGATGAAGATGAAGATGAAGTTGACAATGATGAAGACGAAGAGGAGGAAGAGAATCCAAACGGGTGAGTCGGAGCTTTTTCTGTCGCCACAAACGCGAAAATGTTTTCGTTGTAAACTCATGCCAATCCCAACCCAAGAACAAAGAATGCTCTGGCAAAAGGGCCAAAAAATAGTTTGGATTAACCATCAATTAAAAGATTCTTTGTTTGCGTACTCGAAGGAGATTACATTATCGGTTTTTACGCGACCCACGACTAAGGAAGCTGTAAAATGTTTGAGTAAAGTGAAACAAACAACGTTTTTATTTGCCATTGAGTTTGGCTCGAAAATGCCACCATGCAATAAGTATTATTACAGTGGAGACATTTCTAAGATTGCACGATGATCGTTGGTTACTTTTCGCTTGTAACCGGTATTTCCCTGCTGGTCGTTTTGGGGTCAAAGTTAATAAAGTTCTACTGAAAAAGAAAGGTTGCCCGAGAAATTATCTGTATTGTAATTGTAATGGAATCTATGAACTCCAATTGGGTTGCAGTTGTCGCTATTCTAAATTTATTGAGGTTATCGACAGTTCGAGTTCTGGTATTTCAGAGGATTTCTCGTTCATTTACATTCGGGTCAGCACCCTAGTGTAATGTTTGTAAGTGTTAAACCATAAAAACCAGGGACTAACTACAATTTCCTCCTTTTTAAAGTGTGCTGAGAATTCACGGTAACGATAAATCATGGAATGGAGTCACAGGGAAATGATCTTCTTATGGATCAGGTCTTAAAATGACCTACCCTCTCTTCTTCGCAAAACCAAATGCCTCATCAGAATTTCTCCACAGGAGAGACAAGTTTCTGATTCAGTTCATTTTTGGAAATAAATCAACTGATTACTTGATATCGCGCCCAAACTGAAGGAAACGTCGTTATAATTTCTTTCTTACGTTGTCTTTCAGAAGCAGCGATGCTCAAGCAGATCCAATACCATTTCTTGGCAGAATCAGAATCCCGAGAATTCCAAGAATCCGGATCCCGGGGCCAAGAATCCCGCTCCCGAGAATCCCGAGGCCAAGAATCCGGATCCCGAGGCCAAGAATCCCGCTCCCGAGAATCCCCAGACCAAGAATCCCAAGGCCCCGCTTCCGGTTTGGGAAAAAGTAAAGGGACCTACCCGCTGACCTATCTTTTAGAAGCCGAGGCTACGAGAAATTATGCCATCTGTCTGATTTTAACTCTAATTGTGTTAGCAAAAAGTTGTAATCGGTAAAGTTATTGATCAAGTCAAGTGACTTAGCCGATAATAAAGCACACTTATAAATGCAGGTTATGTGATGCACGTCATTTAACGCGGGTAGTTTGCAGTCCCACAAGTATATCACAGCAAAAACATCGTCCACATACTGAACTCAGAATTGTACAAGTTTTAATGTAGACCTCACGAGACACTAACATAAGCTGTGTGCGCGAGCGAATGTACTTATGTGCTTGTTACGTTAGCGTGTATCAAGGCCATGAGCATGTTGCAAGGCCAGCACAAGCAAACCGATCCAGAGAAAGAAATAAAACAACGATTCCATGAGGTTTAGGTGTTTTTGAAGCTTTGGAGGTCAGGTTAGCTAGGTCACTCACGTGACTATTCTCAAACATGATTCTTGACAATTCAAGGATGAAAAATAGCACTCTTCAAAGCCCAGGACAAGGAAAATAGGGAAAGACAATCAGCATTAGTCCAATACAAGACGTGAACAATTTCAGCACGAACTTCCTTGTTGTTCTATAGTTCAATTCGCGCCGGTGCTGCAGGACAGAGAAAAAAGATATACTATCATAACTCAATTAATTTTGTATTCTGTGCTTTTGGTACTTGGAAAAGATGTCGCTCTTGTCTTGATTTTTATTTATTTTATTTTTTATTTAATGACGACCTAGTTGAGGTGTTTGGGAGTATTGTTGTTTGAATATATCAAATTATTGAGAAGAACGTTAAACTTTTGCAGATCAGCATGTAAAATGTTCCCCATAATTAAATTCTTTTGTCTAGATTTTTCTGTCGAATTACAAATCTTAGCTATAGAGAAAATGTCGTTATCTTCTGAGGTGTTTAAATGCCACATTTAAAAATTGGTCACAAGCATGCGTGACTTTAAGGCCGCACTTGTACAAACATCACCGATATCCATCCCTTCTCATTTGCATTAGATTGCCGTTACTATGAAGAACAAAGGACGCCTTATAACTGATAATTAGTAGCTGAATTGTTTCAGAACAAATAACTCTTTAGCTGTAACGGTCGCTGCATTTGGGTCGTGGTAGAAACCGTGGACTAAGAAGTGAACATAGCTGAGGGCCATATTCGAGAAGTCTCTAGCGGCTGTTGGGTTTTTAGAGGTGATCGTAAATTTTACTACTAAAGGATGATGTTCAAAACGAAGCGGGGTTTCACATTGCTCTTTGTGTTTCTCGGGGTGATGAACGAAGCATGTTATTCAGGTGAGTGAGCGCTTGTTGTTAAACAAATTAGACCGGCATTACAGTGGATGGTATGAAAGAAAGCTCATGTCCAAAATAAACATTCCTAAAGTCAGTCTATCAATGTCGCAAAAAATATTTTGCTATCGGATGAATAGACGTATTTTTTTTTCTTTTTAATCGTAATAACCTTTTTATTGCTCTTCGTCTCTTAATTAGAGTTTCGGCAATTGAGCTGGAAAAATCCTAACCATGATGTAATAAAAGGTGGGGATGGGACTAACGAATCGTGACAAAACTATTTGAATTTGAAATGTTTTGTCATTTAGCTGACCCGACACAAGCACTGAAGCTTATTAAGCAGAAAAACTGCCAGAATTTAAACATTTCTGTATAACCCCGTACTTATCTAGAACAAAGCCGTAATTCCAAAGGCAATCTATTATTTTTCTCTAACTGTTTTCTGTATCTAAGAACTGTATACATAATAAGTATGGGATTTTGCGGAAATCTTACCTAACCGTTTCTTGTCCTAAAATGCCTATTTTCTTTCAAATCATTTAAGAAGTTTAAGGCTCCACCAGCGGACTGACACATTTTGAAATGAGCTGAAGTAAGTTTCCAATTTTCCAGCGCAAATTAAAGCGCCAAGTATCTTGTAAAGAAATAGCATTCCCAGTCAGATTCGACAAATTCGAGGTAAACGGATATCAAGGCCTCAAAATACAGCTCTCTATAAGGCCGGTCGTTGTTTGTCGCTCCAGGGAGGAAGGGGGGTGGGGGGAAGGGGTTTCAAGTATTTTGGTTGGGTCGCAATAAAATTTACCTGATCAATTCTTAAGGTTCTGTAATGTTCTTATCACCCTCTCCTCCCCTCATTGGTAGTTTATTGGCAGTCAAATTTTTACGGTCCACCCCTCCCCCTATTATCTATCCCGTGTCTTGGCAACGATTACTCCACCTCCATTCGCGCCCCTTGCTCTTCCTTCCAGATTATAAATAATGACTGGTCCCTAAATAATGGTCTTAATTGCATCAGTTTTTTCAGTTTCAGAACGGGAAAACCATTCCAACGGAAATATTCCTCAGGAGAAACGAGAAGCCGTACTTTATCGTGGACAACTGTGGTCAGCCACTTATGATAACAACCGGGAGGTCACGAATGTCTTTATTCCTTACACAGTTAAATTAAGAGGCTGGTTCTCAGGACTTGGTAAGTACAAAGCTTCTCCTTGGCTAACTGATTTCCCTTACCCTCTCCCGTGAGGGGGAGGGAGGGGGGAGGGAGGGG